GTTTGTGTGTGTGTATGTTTGTGTGTGTGTATGTTTGTGTGTGTGTATGTTTGTGTGTGTGTATGTATGCATGCGTGTGCGCCTGTCCGGATATTTCAATTCGGCAGCCAAGCAAGCTTCGGCGCTGGAATTTTGCCAGTGGGTTCTCCGACCAAGTGCTACCCGAGGACCGTGGGACCAATCTTCACGCACGTCTGGGCTCGCATACGAGTCGTGAAAGTATTGGCGGGAAAATTGCGAACCCGGGAATCAGAAGAGCCGGGGAGCTGAAATTTTGAGATGTTCCCTGTCCAAGCACGACACAAAGGCTCCAAATTTATCCCCCAGGTACGCGTGGTACCCACGTGCTAGAGGGCGTAAGTTTTGGAGGGAAAATTGCTCACTGAATAGCTAGGTCATTTTTATGAAACGACCGTTCGACGGGGATTGTTCATTTTTTTGTGCAAAACTTATGATGATTATGCTACAAGGTAAGTGTAAAGTAGCAACTAGTCACATAGATAACATTCTGATTGCTTCAGGTTTAATGCAAAAACAGCAAACCTGGTGCGTCCCAGCCTAGAGTTTTCAAAGCGAAAGAGCCCATGCATAGTTTGACGAAGATAAGCTCACGCATAGTTTAAGGAGCGCTTGAGGTTTTACACTTTGCAGCCGGACGCAAAGAAAAAAGCGGGAGGGGGGAGGGGAGAGAAATGCGAATTGAGGGGGTAGGGTAAGGGCCGTACACAAAGAAGCACATCAATGACTGGCACTCGCGAGGAAGGACATGACCGCGTAGACGGCCCCGGAAAAAATAGTTACAGACGCGGCGAGTTGCTGAACAATAAATGCAAGCATTCAGCCGAAAAGAAGCAAACGCTAAGTATTTCTGCGAAGATCTGCGCGTATATTCGGGGCAGCGAGAAGACTTGTACGATCAGCTGTGCTTCAGCAATCGCCGTCACATCACAGTTTAATGCTGTCCAGTAATCCGAAAGTTGCTTTAAATGTTTAATTGTTGATGCGCTCGCAATTTGCTTCTCAAGCTTTTTTTACGAGCTCGGCTTTCGCTGTTCTGGGAGTAAGAAACTCCATCCAAGCTCCCTTGTAAAGACGAAATTTAGCTCAAGAATCGGGGAATCGGGCCTTTCAATCGGTTCAACAGAGTTTTTGTTAGCTGCTTGACCGATCCTCTGATGAAGCAACATCCTAAATAAATTATTTTGAGAAAGTGGACACGCGGGTGAACAGGCCTACTGCAGCAGTCAGACATGCGCTAATGTTGTGCTGGACAGCATGGCATATGCATTTGTGGTTTCAGATGTGTCATGGATGCTGATGTCCTGAATCGATCCATTCGCCAGTACACTGCTGTGCTGGGTATCTAGTCCAAATGTGGATGAACGTTTGTGGAAGCTGACACAAGAAGCAGCTGCTCCATGCGCTGTAGTAGCAGTTGTTAGGTAAGCGTGGAACAAATATAGGCTGCTCCTACCAACGCCACTGAGGACAAGGACAAGGCCGCATGCATCGCTGTGGACCACTACAGCCTTCAACAATACAAGCGCCGCGGCAATGTCACTGTACAGCAACGGTCCAGAAGCATCAACAGCAGCCAAGCGACGGTCATCCTCCTGGACACCAAGACGTTCCATTAGCGGTGACCGAGAACGACGTTCTTATGTTCGTTTTTACGCTTTTCTTTGCATTTGTGCATATTCAGAAACTCATTATGATGTGCATATATCCCATATGCTTCCAACTGCTCTCTCTCTCTTTCTCTCGCTCTCAATTTCAACGAAGAGTAAAGCTATGAACCTTGAACCTGCGCACTATAGACCTACATGAATCACCCAAAAATAGTCCTCAAATACTTGTCTGTCTCAACCATCCATCGCGGAGACTCTAAGCCTGCTCAAATGAATTTTCCTAAGTCGGTCAATTTCATGAGCTCAGGAAAAGCCGCCTACCTGTACAAATTATTCAGTGCATACGTGTGAAGTATACTGTCCTTAGATTTTTAATCCCGCAACACCCATTGCCTTCCATGTCTGTCCCAGATCTGTCTTTGCCCGCAAAATAGTATCTGAAAAGCTTGTGGCGCACATGTGTTACGAGGTAAGTTTTTGAAATATAATTAGCTGTTATACTCGCAACTTCCAGCGGAAATCCACATATTTTTGTGTCACCAACTCGAAATAATTCTGCACCTTGGAAATTTTTCTGGCTGGCGGTTTCAGTTCGTTCCTTATGTATGTTGATCTGTCTTGGTAGGCTTGTTTAAATGCATTCTTGCACTAACTGAGACGAGAAGATTACAGAATAAACTCTTATTTGTGCATGAGCATATATTAGTCTGCCTGAATGATCCTAATCAAGAACTGCAAAAGCTAAGGAGGTGAACTTTTGAGAACATATTTTCCGACCATATGTACAGCCTTCCATCTGCAATCAGCTTCATCTCTCGCTGTCTTAACTTGTGGTCTCTCGTCCAAATTCAGGCTAATTTTATAAATCAGAGTGGGCGCAATTCTATGAACTGGAGATTTTTTCGGCTTAATCGCGCAGCAGTGCTGATTCGCTCAAAATTAAATCATAAATCTGGCTACGTTGTGATCTATGGTCCAAGTTACAAATTCGTTACGTCAAACAAAGCAAGCTAATATAAATGAAATTTCGTTATTTTAGTCCACCATTTTTTTTGAGATGGGTGATCTGAAATTAACTTTCAGATTGGTCTATTCTAAATCATATCCACCGACCTTTGTCACTGTAGTCTTCAACTCACATAAGGACACAAAATGTTTTTGCGAATTTTCAGCTTCCTAACTTGCTCAGTTCTCGAAATGTTTTCCCCTCGCTCCTCCTCCTCCCCCCCCCCC